CGGTCTTGAGATAATCTAAGGCTGATACCATCTATTAGACAACAAGGTTAGTTAATGCAGAAGCTAAAAGAAGTTAACTTACTGCAACCGTGATTTTACCGAGTACTGGTTCAGGGATTCGTGAACACATATGCCTATAAACAAAACGATAGAATTTGTCGAGTGAAGTGTCCATCATTTCCATACAAATCCAACAATCACCCTCTTTGAAAAGTGCCCCGAAAAACTGTACAATATGACGGCAATTAGCAGAGTTCATGACAACATCAAGGTCCTTTAGAGTATTTTTTTGTTCCCTCTCATTGAGTGTAGATCTGATGCGCTGACAAAAGAATCAAAAGAAAATATACAAACCTTAACCGCCATAACGAATCCAGTTGGTGCGTGCACCATTCTGTTTACAAAACCATACGCCCCCCGGCCAATTTCACCTTCATCAAATAGATCTTCGGAGGAAAAAAGCTAATTTTCATCAAATAATAAGATCACTTACTAGGTCTTGGCATACCTCCGGAATGGTTAGGGTGCCTTGTTGAGAGTAATTAAATCCTCTAATGTAAGATAAATAAAAATTGTGATGCGTACGTAAATATTGGCTCAGTTCTAGGAATTCCAGGAATATCTAACATTGGGAGTTTTAATTGATTAGCTCTTGGGTTCATGGGTGAGGAGAATACATCTAAAAAAGATCTGACCAGAAACCAAAATAGTTGGAAAAATTTCAACCCAATTTTAAAACATATATGTGTTTACGTAAATAAAAACAAATAAATGCATTATAAAAATCATTAAGATAACAAAACGTAAATTTTTTCTTTTAATTTTTCTAATATAAAATATTTATATTTATAATTTGTTATTTTTTTGTTATTAGTAGTGTTATGTGCGGTGTTATTAATTTTAACCTCTGAAGCATGGGTGCCTTCTTGTCTTCTCCTTATACAGAAAAAGAGTCTTCTTTTGGCAGCGATAATTTTATAAGCTATGGATCCTCTTCCATGCAGGGGTGGAGATTAAACCAAGAGGTATCTTTGTTCTTGTTTATTTATGTTGTTGGCCACGCCTGTGATATAACGGCTGAATTTTCAGGACGCACATAACACCATACTTGACTTCGATGGACAGCGATGTATTTCACTTTTTGCTGTATATGATGGCCATGGAGGGGCTGAGGTCGCGCGCTATTGTGCTGATAGACTTCCTATATTTTTAAAAGAAATGCCCTTGTACTCACATCTCCTCACTGATCCAATGGAATTGCTAAAGCAATTGTTCCTACAATTTGATGCAACTCTTGTACAAAACGAGGTATTTCCCTTAATAATTTATAAT